CAGTTAGTCTTATTTATTGTATGTTGAGTCCTTGGGTAGATTACTTATTAAGCACTGACTATATGCCAGTCATTGTACTAGGCCCTGGGTATTCAGTGGTGATCAGAACAGATAAGGTTAATTCTGCCCATTTCTGCTGTAATTGTGGCGGTCCTGGCATGGGAGCACCATGACTGAGGAAGATCAGAGAGGTGGGTGGGGTCCTATTTGTCATCGCATGTGGACGTGGTAAGGAGTTGGGACTTTATTCTGACCTTAATGATAAGCCATTGCAGGGGAATCCAGCTTCAGTTTTATAGGGATTACTGTGGATGCTGGTGGAAAACAGTTGGTAGGTATGAGGGTAAACAGAACCCAGTTAGAGGGTTGGTTGTAATTCAAGCAAGGTATGATTGTGGCTTAGGTCAGACTAGGGCTCAAGAGCTGGAAAGAAGTAGATTGATACCCGCTGTGGAAGAATTAACTATGTGTGGTGGATGGGATGTGGGGGTAGGGGGGCAATGGGGGGCGAAGGGCGGGTCAAGGATGTTTCCTACATCCCTGGCTTGAAGTGGGATCCACCTGGGAAGTGGGAAATTCTGTGTTCTGAGATGATGGAGATGGAAGCAGAATTAGAGGGTATGATCCAGTGTTCAGTGTGGGGCAGGTTGACCGTATGGGGAAGGACGGGTTTGAGGTGGGGGAGTGCAGGGACTAGCTTACTCTTCCTTGCGCTGTGGTAACTGCTTTGTGGCCTGGGTACAAGTTAGGATAAATACATCACTTCCCAAACCAAACGCACTGAACTGGCTTCCAGTTTATAGATGAGTTGCTGTAACCAGTTATGCCTCTGTGGTCTCTGTTATGCCTCCACAGTCTGAAGATTTTTATGTGTTTGATGAGCAGGACAAAATGACATTCGTTTGTAGTCAGTGCTCACTTACTGTGATCTCTTCCTTTGGTATTCCTAGAACTGCACCTGCCTGGCACACAAGGTCAGGTCACAGATTTGATCTTCACATGGACCACGTAAATTTTCTGTTACCATGTTATGGGCTGCCTCCCTTACTTCGTGAGGCCGGCTTGATAGCTTATGCAGAAGAAATGTGGGCTTTAGAGTTGATATAAAATATGCCCCTTTATCTTTGCCACTTAAAACCCCTAACTTCCAATTCTACCCACACTGGTATTCTAGTGGCCTTTATTTGGAAATGTGGAACCCAAATGTATATTCTGCATGTCTCCCATTGGCTATAGTTATTATCTGCCTTCACATTAAGTATACATTTATTGCAAGTGTGAACCACATCATTTTATCCATCCTTTGATTCTCTACAGCCGATGTTTTTATGTCTTTCGGCAAATAGAAATGGATTATTTAGGGGCTGAGATTGTAAGTGTTGCGTTCTTTGCGGTACCTCTACTGCCTGGCACAGAGGCCGGCATGCTTTTGGCACTTGATATTTATTAAATCAATGTGACAGAAGGAATGGCTAAGTAGACATTTTGTGAGGTGGGGGAATTCAGTTTTCAGAAACCAAGAGATCAGACAGGCTGTATTCTTATAAGTTAAATCCAGGTTGAAAAATATAAATCTGGGGACTCAAAATGACAAAAAAAGCTTCTAAGAACCACGAGAAAGGAGTTCCGTGAGCGTGTGCAAAAGAGAGCAAGGATAGAGGAAAAGAGAAAAGCGGAGGAAGGGGATTAGAAGGAGGGCTGGTGGAGCAGGAGAGCACAGCGTCCAGGAGGCAGGAGCCGTCACCAGCGGGAGATGGCGTGAGAAGGGATTTGGATGGAAAGGGACTTCTGGGTTTGAGCAGAAGTCAAGCAAGTGCAATATGAGCCTGAGCGCACAGTGTGCTATAAGATTGGGGAAACTCCGCTATCTTTTTGTTCATATTCCTCATCACTGATGATTCCAGTCAAGGGGATGTATTTTCTTTTTTCATTTTTTTTTTAGTTTTTATTCTTTGTTTTTCTTTACTTTTCTAATATCCTTTTTTATTTAATTTTTAAAAAATTTTTAATATTTATCATTTTGGGGGGAGGGAGAGGGAGAGTGGGGGAGGGGCAGAGAGGGAGAGGGAGACACAGAATCCGAAGCAGCCTCCAGATTCTAGCTGTCAGCACAGAGCCCTACGCAGGGCTCAAACCCATAAGTGGTGAGATCATGACCTGAGCTGAAGTCGGATGCTTAACCAAGTGAGCCACCCAGGTGCCCCTTTATTTTTTACTTTTTATAAATTTTTTTTAATGTTTATTTTTTTGAGAGAGTGAGAAAGAAAGCAGGGGAGGGGCAGAGAGAAAAGGAGACAGAGGATCCACAGTGGACTTGGTGCTGACAGCAGAGAGCATGACGAGGGGCTCAAACTCATGAACCATGAGATCATGACCTGAGCCAAAGTTGGACGCCTAACAGACTGAGCCACCCAGGTGCCCCAAGGGGGGAAGTTTTCTTAAGTGGAGACATAAATAGTTTTGATTTTCTGTTGTGCACAGCCTAGCATCATAGGGCACTGTTTACACTGAGATTGAAGGGCTCGTTTTGTGATTTCTTATAAGCCAATTACTTCATGATTAAGGCTGTATTTTTCCATTGCTCCTTTTATAGATATTGAGGCTTGATATTAAAATTATTTAGGGAGTATTGCAAAAAAAGTCACAGTAGTTGGAGATTTGAAAATCGACTTGAATGTCAGTGTGAAAAATACAGACCATCTCTCTAAAATAACCCAGGAGCTCTTCAGCTGAAATTTTATGAAGTTCTCTAGTTCATGAGAATGCTAAAGAGCTATGTTAATAAGCTCATAACAATAAAGAACCTTGGGTTGTGCTAATCATGGAGGTATACACATACACACATGTGCAAATTTATGCATAATTTTTTCTGGGTCATTTCTTAGAATCCATGGGAGGAGGAGAGGGAGTACATTTGAACCTTATTAAGATGCTACCATTTGCAAAACTTGTCCATCTAAGTGGGATTAACTTACAGTAATGAAAAAATGTGGCTACTGTGTATTCAACATCTGCTTCTTTCCAGACATGTTACAGTAATCCTGTGAGGGAGGTATTATCATTCCTAATTTAAAGTGAAGAAAGTAAAGTTCAGAGAGTTTTGAAGTAATTTGCTCTAGATCACAGAGCTTATAAAGTAGAATTGTACCGAGTTTTATACCAAAGCCCATGTACCTTCCAATGTCCTGTCTGAACGAGAATCTTTAGGCTATGAGAGTAAATCAGATATTTGGTTGGGAGCCCAGGAACCTCCACAGAGTAAAAACCACCGGATAAGAACGTTTTCAGCATCCTGGCCCCAGTCTGCCTATTTACCCTTATCTGCAACTGACATTTTTCTTCCTTCTTCCTCTTACAGTGGACGATGCTAATCCCTCCCAGGACTTGATTCTTCTTGTTTATCTTTTGCATCTTTAGTCTGTGGCTCTTTCTTTACTAACTTCTTCCCCTAAGTCTAAAGCTAGGCCCTTACCAAAGCAAATCCCTTCTGTATTGGTGAGTAGTTGCTGCGTAACATACCACCCTCACACTTGGTGAAGCTAAAGCATGATTTATCTAGGCCATTGTTCTGTGGGTCAGCAAATTAGGCCGGGCTCTGCTGGACTTACTTCTTGTCTGTGGTCAGCTGCTGGTCCTCTAGCTGGCTTTGCTTCAGGGGCAGTAGCTGGCTAGTGGGCAGGGCCAGAAGGGTGCTTGGAGCATATGTCTTTCCCGTCTAGCAGGCTGGCCCAGATTTGTCTACTTGGTTGCTTGAGGGGGTTTCAGGAGAAAGCAGAAGGCTGTCAGTCATCTCGAGGTCCACATTCACAATTAGTGTCCTTTGGTTTGTGTTCCGTCAGCCAAAGGAAGTCACAAGGCCAGCCTAGGACCAGTGGGTGGAGAAGTAGTGCTGAACTTGGCGTTCTTTCTTGTTGCTAACTCTTATTTACTCTGTTAAGACTACAGTCCTGTTACCACCTTGGTTTTGGGCTTCCTCTGTCACTGAGCTTAAAACAGCATGGCAGCTGTTGGCCTATTTCTTAGTAGAAGGTGACCTCCTTAAAGATAGTGTCTCTTTCAATCTAGGATTTGGCACATGGCAAGAAATTTATAAAAGCAGAAGTTTTTGTGAAGATAAAGCATCCTAACAGTTGATAACCAACACTATGGAGTAGAAGATCGTAAATGCTTGCATTTTAAAACTTGCCTGTGGGGGCGCCTGGGTGGCTTAGTCAGTTAAGTGTCTGGCTTTCGCTTAGGTCATGATCTCGCGGTTCGTGGGTTCGAGCCCCATGTCGGGCTCTGTGCTTACTGTCAGCTCGGAGCCTGGAGCCTGTTTCAGAGTCTGTGACTCCCTCTCTCTCTGACCCTCCCCTGCTCACGCTCTCTCTCTCTCTCTCCCCTAGAAATAAATAAAAACATTAAAAAAAAAAAAAACTTGCCTGTGGAAGTTGAAAAACTTTGGGGCTAAATAAACAAATAAATAAGTAATAAAAAAAGAAAAACTTCGCGGGAGACTTTATCGAATATATCAAAATTGAATATTTCTTTAAAAAAATTAAGGGGGTAAGGAATCTTGCTCAGCATTCTGAGTAGAAATCATTATTAAATATGTACACACTATCTTTGAGTTTTTTTTTTACATAAGATTACAAGTTTGTTTATAAGGAAGACAAGTCATATTTTCATGTCATATTTGTCACAGAAAGCATACCCATCCGTTAGCTGGTCCATTGGGATTTGGGAGAAACGTTCTATTTTAGAATGTAAGGTGAGGGCGGACATCAGCTAGCACCTTGGATGTTGCTCTGGAAGACACTGATAAAAAATGTTTCTGTCAGACAGGAGGAGTGAAATATATGTGCATATATACACATACACACACACATATCTGTACATATACATATTTAACACATAGGTATGTATGTGTATAAATAATGTAAGCTCATCTTCAAATGAGTATGTCTTATCGGTGCATTAAGTCTTAATTGATGGATCTTCATGTGCCTTTTATGTTTTAGGTTCAGCTGCCTGTATATCTTCCCAGATCCCTAAAACCTGACCACATTTTCCCGTCACGGGGTTGATATCGAACCATGCAGCGGAGACCAAGAGGAATTAATACTGGACTTATTCTGCTCGTTTCTCAAATCCTCCATGTTGGGGTTAACAATATTCCACCTGTCACCCTAGCAACTCTGGCTGTCAACATCTGGTTCTTCTTGAGTCCTCTGAAGCCACTATTGGGCTCCTGCCTCAGTGTGGACACGTGTTATCAGCAAAAGGACTGGCAACGCTTGCTGCTTTCTCCTTTTCACCATGCAGATGATTGGCATTTGTATTTCAATATGGCTTCCATGCTATGGAAAGGAATAAACTTGGAAAGGAGACTAGGAAGTAAATGGTTTGCCTATGTCATCGTCACATTCTCGCTGCTCACTGGGGTGGTGTACCTCTTGTTGGAATTTGCTCTTGCCGAAGTGATGAATGAACCAGTCTTCAGAGCGAACTGTGCTGTGGGTTTCTCAGGTAAGGCAGACAGATTTCCAAGGCGGCATGCGTGAAGACAGTCAGGGAGGTGTGGCTGGTGCCGTTGTAGGAAATGTGGCTCTGTATCTGGCGAGGGAGCAGAATTCCGAGTGGCTGAAGATTGCTGGGGCTTGGATTTTGGAGAGAAGGCTGATTGGAGCACAGGAGAGACATAGATCTTGCTATTCTGCGTTAATCATTCACTGGTTAACTGCATCATTCATTCTTGGACAGTTTGTTTGGACCAGGGTCTGCTCAAAGAAGGTAGTTGTGTAGGAAATGTAGTTCTAGAAATACATGGGCTCTATCATGGTGGGGCCAGGGAAAGACCCACAGGTGTGTCTGTGATAAGGAGTTCTCTAAAACATTGAGTATGCCTCTCAATAACTTCATTAAAACGCACCACAGCCTCCCATGGCATAGACGCCATGTTGCAGCAACTCTGATAGTCTCTCTGTCTGTATCTCATAGGACTGAAATTGCCATTAGGGCTTAAAGTAGGTGTTTTGAGAATTAGAATGTGAAGGGGAGGAGGGAAAGAGTCCTGCACCAGAAGGAAATCTAACTCTTTTGTCTACTTTCCCTGCCATCCATCTCCCTTCCCTCTAAGATATATCTTCATGCAACCAGTTGTGGGAGAAGAAAGGAAACATGTCCTGACCTCAACATGTCTTTTCATAGAGGTTCAAAAAATACACATTTTTGCTGGTTTTTTTTATTGAGTTAAAAATCACATAGCTTAAAATGAACAATTCTGAGGTGAACAATTCAGTAGCATTTAGTACCATTTCAGGTATTTTATTCCCATTTTATAGGTTGTATATTCTCTAGCATACTGAAAGTCACCACAAACTTCTGTGTTAAGAAACATCAAAAGAACAATTGCCTTGGACATTCTGAACATTGTCTTTCTACCAAAAGCTGGGTTGACTTGTGAAGAACAGAGTGTGTTTCAGAGGAAGAAGTTGGATGTAGTCAAAGAATCATTTTTACATCCAGTTAGTTTTCTTTGTAAATGTTGACTGTCTCCACATTTGGATTGTTGATATTTGTATGCTCTTTATTCTCTTCTAGGAGTTTTGTTTGCTTTGAAAGTTCTTAACAACCATTATTGTCCCGGAGGCTTTGCCAACATTTTGGGCTTTCCTGTACCCAACAGATTTGCTTGTTGGGCAGAACTTCTGGCTATTCATTTCATCTCGCCAGGGTAAGTGTTTACTCTCAGAGTATACAAATGAAGAACCTGATGTTCCGGGGGAAAGAATTGCAATAATAACGAGGTAACCAGTTGTTTCTTTACAGCAAACTTGATTCTTTAAGGGCAGCATTGAGCTTACTTATGAGTCGTTCTCATGTCAGACATTCCTCGTTTGAGTCCTGTCCACTACTGAGTCCTGTGATTTTGGTAAACTTGTCTTATCTGAGTTTCAGTTCCCTTGCCCTGGAAGGATATGCAGATTGGAAAGATCAATATTAATGAGACTGTCTATTCATTAATTCTAAAAATAGTAATGCAAAGAGGCACATGGAAACCACAGAGTTATAGCGATAAAAATCACGAGAAGTGTTGGTCCAGTGCTTTGAAGCCATTTTTCTTGTGAAGTGCCTTGGTAACAGAACTCTTTAAACAAAAGACTTTACTCACAACTTTACTCAGTGTATAAGATGGATCCACTGTGAATGGTTTAGGGTTGAGAGGAAACATGGGGCCCTATTTCTTTTGCTTTGCCCCCATGTTGCTGTGGTTGCCTTAGAGGCACCTCCAGAGGACCCGAGGGCTCCAAGGCATATGGTTTGGGAACCGCTGATTAAGATGCATCCTTTCCTTTTCAGATGAGGACAAGAGAAGTCAGGAGGTTAAGGTACTTTTTAAAACAGCTCATGGTAGACCCTAGCGTAGATGGGCTAGGATCTCCTGACTGCTGGTCTGGGGCTCCTGCCTGGGGTGCTACGCCATCCCACTTTGGTTCTTTTCTCCGTTTTTGTTTAGAAAAAGGAGGGTGAGGGGTGCCTGAGTGGCTCAGTCGGTTGAGCATCCGACTTGGGCTCAGTCCTGATCTCACGGTTTTTGGGTTCGAGCCCCACGTCGGGCTCTGTGCTGACAGCTAGCTCAGAGCCTGGAGCCTATTTCAGATTCTGTGTCTCCCTCTCCTCTGCCCCTCCCCTGCTCACGCTGTCTCTCTGTCTCAGAAATAAATAAAACCTTTAAAAAAATTTTAAAAAGGAAAAGGAGGGTGAGGGGCACTTGGGTGGCTCAGTTGGTCAAGCATCTGATTCTTGATTTTGGCTCCGGTCATGATCTCCCCATTTGTGAGATCAAGCCCCATGACAGGGCTCTGAGCTGACAGTGTGGAGCCTGCTTGGGATTCTCTCTGCCCCTCTCCCACTTGAGCTCTGTTCCTCTCTCTCAAAATAAATAATAAGTAAACTTAAAAAAGATACGAAAAAGTAAAAGAGGGTGAATTGTGTTTTTCTCCCACATCTTCCACCAGTTTCACTTCTCTTCATCCATACGTGCTATTGGAAACCCATGGGTTTTTGTTTTTTTGTTTGTTTATTTTTATTGCGGGGACCTGGATGCCATTTAGAGGAGGGGGAACGTCAGGAAGATTCAGGAAGAAGTGAGGAGGATTTTTTTTTTCCTTTTCTTTTCAGAGAGGGGTCTTATTTTGCTTCTGGTTCCTGTGGCTGTGTTGGGTGTTGTACTTTATCTGAGAATTTTCTCTGTGGGACCTGGAGTCCTTCTTTAATGCTAATTTCCCGTGATGGGCAGCCATTGCCAGCTGCTCTGTAAAAGGCAGCTATGTGACCACCAAACACCACTCATTTGCAACTGTATTGTTATCTGGTGACAGTTCCTTGAAGAAAGCCTCACAAAATCTTCAAAGTTTTCTTTGAAAAAGGGTCCAGTAATGTCTGTCCCTTATCTGAACAGCCCGCTCGCTCTAGACCTTGTCACTCACAGCTCCCTGACTTGCTCCATGTAACCCTGTGTTCTCTGTGTAGAGGAGAGACTTGTCTGTGACAACAGCCCCCAACATTCATATTGAAATTACTCCCTCTGATACTTGAACTTTTATTCTATGATGGATCTGTTGAATAGCAGTGCCTTTAATATTCTCCAGCAACGGTTTCTGAAGACTTCTCAATCATCACACACTTTATTTATTGCTTTTTTAGGGTTCCCCGCCTTTCCATGGAAAAGGCATGGTTGCATTTTTATATAACCTGTTTCTTCTGCGTGGAGGGACCCAATATTCTGAGCCTGGGAATCAGATGACATTTTCCTATCTTTGAAGTTGGAAAGAATACATCTTTTCGGTGTTTAAGATTTGACTACTTTGAATGATAAACTTCTGATACTCAAGCATCTGCTTATGCCGGTGTCTAAATAAAGACCAAGCTGAAACGCTGGGTCCAGGAAACTAAGAAGTGAGTGCTTCTTTGAGATGGATCTTGGAAGAATGGAAGAAACCGGAGCCCTGTTGGCTCTACATTGTTATTCTCCGAGTGGTTGTCAGTTAGAATTTGCACTGGGAAAACACTGTAAATCTTTAGAACAAAGCCTGCTTTATTGTCAGACTTAATGAGCTGCCCTCCGGGGAGAAAAAAAAATCTGCCAAGCAAACATTTGGTGGACCTCTGTGTTTTATGAAAGCCACGGAATTAGTAATTTCCCCCAGTTACAGCGTGTTATGGAGGGAAGCCACTCCAAACGGCCAGCCATCGGGCTCTGTGAGGGGTTGGCCTTGCCCAGCAGAGTGAAGTAATTGCACTCATTCGCTGGTGCTTTTGCTTTTCACTGGCCTTGTTTGTACCTTGTTTTCTTTTTTTTTTTTTTAATATTTTTATTTATTTCTAGGAGAGAGAGAGAGAGAGAGCGAGAGCAGGGGAGGGTCAGAGAGAGAGGGAGATACAGACTCTGAAATAGGCTCCAGGCTCTGAGCTGGCAGTCAGCACAGAGCCCGACGACGCGGGGCTCGAACCCACCAACCGCGAGATCATGACCCAAGCGAAAGTCGGACGCTTAACCTACTAAGCCACCCAGGCGCCCCTGTACCTTGTTTTCTACCATTGCTTTGCCTCACCTGGTCTTTTCATTTCCTTGCGTGTCCTGGGACCCTGCTAGGTGACTGTGTTTGGAGAAGTGTCCCTGCTCTGGAGGTGACACAGCAGGGAAGTGTGCAGCCTCCTTGAGGAGACTGCCTCCTTGTAGACTGGGCTCCTGCCCCTTCCCACCCCCCAGACCCCCACCTTCTGTTGATGGAAGAAAGGGGGTCTGATGCCAAGCGTTGCTTCTCACCTCTGTCATTTCTCATAATGAGCCTAAGGCTAGTTTTCCAAAACCTGAGGCTCCAGAGAAAGGAAGTTACCCAGTGTAAGGCAGCCCCTCAGTGACCATGCTAGAGGACAGTGGTCACGTGTGAATGACCGGGGCTGACATACCTAGCTGTGCCAACTCAGGTGAATCCTGTAGCCTCTCTGAGCCTCATTTTCCTCATCCGTCCATTGGGAATATGACTTGTTTTCTGTTTCCTTACCTCAGTTTTAAGGAGTCAAGGAGATCATCTATATGAAAGTATTTATAAGTTTTACAAGTATTTAACATTTTTATTATGAGATCAGTCACTGGAACGGTGCAGTGTGTCCGAAAGGACTCATACCTGAAATCTTGTTCTTCCTAAAATCAATATTAAAATAAGTCAAACAAAATTTTGTTTGTATCAGTTTTGTCTCCCTGGTACTTTCTACTTGACTTTTCCTTCCAGAATGGCAGTTAGCAGTCTAAAAATTCCCATGGGCTCCTCATAAACACAAATTAAGCAGCTCATGACTGTGTTTGGACCCTAGGAGAGTCTTTCGTACAATATGGCAGTTCTGGAAAGGTTAGCCCCTAGGTGTTGGGTACTGCTTCATTGCTAATGTTTGACATGAATAATTACTTTGACTCCATTAAAACCTTCTTGGTTAGATTGAGAAAAAAATCGATTTAATACATTTTTTTACTTATTCCAGTTTAATTGTAAAAATTTTCAAACATGAAGAAGTCGCTAAACTATTTGAAAGTTAAGTTGGAAACATCAGAGTAACTTCACCCCTAAAAAACTCAACATATATCTCCTAAAATAATCTATTGCTTTATGTAACCACATTACTATTGTCATATTGAAGAAAATTAACAGTAATTCCCCAGTGTTGTCTGATAATTAGTTTATATTCAGATATTCCCGAGTTTTCAAGTGTCTTTTGTAACTGCTGGGTTTTTTTTTTTTTTGCTTGTTTGTTTTGTTTTTGTTTTTTTTTTTTTGAGAGGTGGGTGGGGATACAAGATGACTAGGATATGGTTAGGTTCACACATTTGTTTATGACATTTCTTTGTTCCCTTTTGCTCTAAGGCTGTCCTTCTACCTTTTTATTTTCCTTTTTAAAAATTTTTTTTAACGTTTTATTTATTTCTGAGAGAGAGAAACAGCGTCAGAAGGGGAGGGTCAGAGAGAGGGGAGACACAGACTATGAAACAGGCTCCAGGCTCTGTGAGCTGGCAGTCAGCACAGAGCCCGACGCGGGGCTCGAACCTACGAACTGTGAGATCATGACCTGAGCCGAAGTCGGCTGCCCAACCAACTGAGCCACCCAGGCGCCCCTACCTTTTTATTTTTCTATGACATTGAGAAGTAACTGTCAGGGAAAAATTATGAAGAGACTAGGTTTTTTGAATGTTTCAGCTTCTAGATTTCTCTGCGTGTTTACGTGTAGGGTTATTTAATCGCTTCCTCTAGCCCCTCTGCATTTCTGTGTACTGGGTTAGGTAGAAATGTTTTTACACTCAGGTTAAACTGGGCTGTTGGCAAGAATACTTCATGGGAGGGGCGCCTGGGTGGCTCAGTTGGTTGGGCAGCCGGGTTCAACTGAGTCATGATCTCACTGTTTGTGGATTTGAGCCCCGCATCGGGCTCCGTGCTCATAACTCAGAGCCTGGAGCCTGCTTCAGAGTCTGTGTCTCCCCCTCTCTCTCTGCCCCTCCCCTACTCACCTTCTGTCTTTCTCTCTCTCTCTCTCTCAAAAATAAATATACATTTAAAAATTAAAAAAAAAAAAGAATACTTCATAGGAGTGATGCCATAAAGCTGTGTTGTATTTTCCTGCATCATGACAGGAAGGACATAATGGCTGATTGTCCATTAGGAATTCTGAGTTTGATCAATT